ACGATGACGTCGATAACATGAAACCCGACTTCACGAACAGCGCGGGCCCGCGTTGGGCCCGCATCTCATACCACGCCAAAAGTATCGAAAGAACCACCCCAGAGAGAACACCACCTATCGGGAGGCCTCGAAGTTCGTATACTCTGCCACCAATCGTAACGAGCGAGAGCCAGCAGTAGGCGAGGAGGGATCGACCAATGTCCGAGGTCGAGATCTTAAAATGCGTGGGGGGTGTGCCTGACGTGAACGTGCGCGTTTTCACCTCCTTTCCGCGTTTAACGAGAGCTGCGCCGGCGCCGATCTGATGGGCCACTGCGGCGGACACGTCCCGCCAAGCTTCGACAATGAGGCCTCTCCGCACTGCTCATGCGCCTGATCAGCATCCGCAACGACGATGGCCACATTTTCCCGGAAAGGGCAAAGGCCCAGGGTTCTCTTTTAGTATGTAAACAATGTCCCCCCGTGCCCAACTTGAAGGAGGCCGGCGGATTCTTTCCCTGATAAATATCGAAGTCGAAGGATGCCAGCGGATTAAAATTTGAGGATGTCTCAGGCGAAACGTTTTTTTTTGTTTTTTGAAATCCCGATCGATAAATCACAGGGTGCGGGCCACCTCAGCACGACCACATCCCAGCACGACCGCGCCCCAGCACGACCACGCCCTAGAACGACCACGCCCCAGCACGACCACACCCCAGCACGACCACACCCCAGCACGACCACACCCCAGCACGACCACACCCCAGCACGACCACACCCCAGCACGACCCGATCGATAAATCACAGGGTGCGGACCACCCCAGCACGACCACACCCCAGCACGACCCCACCCCAGCACGACCCCACCCCAGCACGACCACGCCCCAGCACGACCACACCCCAGCACGACCACACCCCAGCACGACCACACCCCAGCACGACCCCACCCCAGCACGAGCACCCACCCCAGCACGACCCACCCCAGCACGACCACACCCCAGCACGACCACACCCCAGCACGACCCCACCCCAGCACGACCCTACCCCCACAGCAGCACGACACACACCACAGCACGACCACACCCCAGCACGACCTCACCACAGCACGACCACACCCCAGCACGACCACGCCCCAGCACGACCACGCCCCAGCACGACCACGCCCCAGCACGACCACCCCCAGCACGACCACCCCCCTAGCACGACCACCCCCCAGCACGACCACCCCCCAGCACGACCACACCCCAGCACGACCACACCCCAACACGACCATACTCCAGCACGACCACACCCCAGCACGACCACACCCAGTCGCACCCCCGTGGAATGTTTCGTGGGGTGTCTGGTTGAATGGTTGCCTGTTCGCGGGGTGTCTCGTGGAATGTTTCACGGGGTGTCTCGTGGAATGTTTCGTGAGGTGTCTCGCGGGTTGTTTCGCGAGGTGTCTCCTGGGATGTTTCGCGGGGTGTCTCGCGGGATGTTTCGTGAGGTGTCGCTCAGTTGGATATCGTGAAAACGTGACCATGCCGCACATGTCTATATCCCTTTTCCGGGTTCGTGGGTCCATCATGTTTGAGCACACAGCCGCACCTGAGACAAGCGTCGTTCGCTGGCGGCTCGAGTTCGGAAACGATGGCACGAACCTCGCAAGCCGCGCGGTTCATATTAAACACCTCTGACGAGAGCCCACTTGCCTGCAGCAGGTGGCGAGAGGCCCTTCCAATATATCTGAAACCTCCCGTCCCAGGAGCATCGGCCGAATTCGATCCTGCGCGCGCAACAATGCCCAGGCTTCGCACAACGCCTAGTACTATCACCCGGGAAACACTTACTCTTTATCGTCGGGAAAACATACGGGCGGTCGTATTCTGGGAAGGTCTGGGCATCAAGCTTCCTTTCCGTCGCTAGGTACGTAAGCCTTGATAAGCACGGGTCCAACGCCAAACAGCCGCATCGTATCTAGATAGGTCATATCTAACAGTCCAATCATCATCTAATTCAGCAGTCTGATGGAGCCAACGAACAACATCGGGACCATCCGCCATCCAGGCTTTATCCCCTTGCTTGTCATCGGCAATGATAATCTCGCCGTCCGCTTGGGTCACCGAGGTCTGTAGGGTCTATCCCAGGTCTTGCCATGTAGCCGGCGGGGGTCCTCTTGGGTCCTTGTGGGAGCCTTCTGTGGATGAGAACCTTTTTGTGATGTAGTCGAGGCCTTTGCGGATCTGACGGGGGGCCCAGACGTGCCGCCTGTGTCCACTCAAGTAGAGCCGCCTTCGCAGCCCTTGCAGAAATTCTGGGGGCTTGCCAGACTGGCAAACGCAAACAGCCAGGAAGAGCACGAAGAAAGAGAAGACCTGAGATGAACTGGGAGTCGGAGGCAGGGGCGGGGAGGCACTCTGACTTGCACTCGGCGCAGAACCTGCCAGCGTAAACTTTATCCCTCCAGATCCGCTGGCCCTGGAACGCGACCCGAATGGGTCTCTGGTACCACTGTCTGACGGGTGAAAACTTCATGCTGTTGATCATGTGTGTGATCGCACCCCGCGCAGTGAAATGGCACTCACGCATCTCAAATTCATGCGGTAGGCGGACCACTGGGCACCTTGCAGCTGGGAGATTCAGCGTGCGGAGGTGTCGATTGATGTCGAACCGAGCCATGCGCTGCCTCGTAAACTCATGAAGGCAGGGGTGACACAAGCTTGCTGCCTTGAATTATATAACACCTTGCTCCACACGTGAAATATATCTGCAGAAAGGGAAGGGGTTCCATTCCCCAGATAAGTAAGCTAAGAGTAGTCCCAGGCGGGAGGGGCCCAGCAGCCACAGTTGACCTGCCTGCTGGGTGAAGTGAAAATGCTCACGGATCTGTAAAACATACAATTCGCCATACGGCGCAGACTCTGATAATGCACCTGGAAACTGGGCAGGAGGGCCTCGAACTGGAAACGCTGGTATTTCTGATACTGCAGGGGTCGCTGATAAACAAGCAGTTCTCGATGTCGAGGGCGATTACCTGGTCGAACTCTAGGGGGCATCAGGCCCGGCATGTGCTCCTGGATGCGCCCCAAGACTCCCGAGAGAACACCTGGCCTCTGTATCGCCCTGCCTACGTAGACGGAGGAGTGCGAGCCTAGGATGTAGACGATGGCCTTGTGGGGGTCCGTCGGGGGTCCTAGCGTGCTTTTGAAGGCGAGAACTACCACGGGCTCAGACCACTCCTGGATACCTCGAAGCCACTCTGGAGGGAGGAGACGGAGTATTCGTCGTGCCCATCCCGATGGGGAAGCGGATCCATGTTCGAACTGCAATCGCACCAAGCCTGACATCAACAGTACAACGCCAACAGTATTCCAGAACGCAGGGCCTCTAAAGACCCGAGTCCCTGTCGGTTGAGAGCCGATGAACTCGGTCAAGAATGCGAAGACGGACGTGACATATGCACAATAGTGTCGGTGTGCACGACGCGTCCAGAGCCAGGAACGAATTTCACCTCCAACCTCACCTTGAGATAGTCCTGAATTCTTGCGAGGAGTATGCATGGGAAACGCTCGCGCTTGTCCGCGGGCGCGAGGCTGGTCATGCGGGAGGGGAATCAGGAGTCTGTTGAGCTCCATGTCCTCCGTCTCGTCGTCCCTCACGGATCCCATCTCGAGGTATGGATCTGGCCTGCACTGCGATGACTTTCCACGCTGCTGCTGGTGTCGTCCTCCGACTCCGTCGTGCGTGCTGCATCTGTCCGTCTGAGCATATCGCGCTTGAAACTCTGCTTGGAATCTCTGCCAAGCCATCTCCATGTCCCGGAGCGGGGGTCCGAATACCTGGTAGCGGGAGGCCGATGTCTGAGACGCAGCCTGAAGCCGTCGTTCTGGTCGATGGTGGAAATTCTTCACGAGGGTATAGATCTCGTATACACTGATTACTGTCAAGAACGCCGGGGGGCATCTCGGGGAGGAGGTGGGAATGGGAGCCGCTGCGCCTCGGGACGGTATGAGCGCGATCCAGGAGCTGGTGCGTGATCCTTGCGCCTCCGTTGCTCAGGAGATCCAAGCCGGCTAGACGCAAGTTGAGAGGGAGCCCCGTTCTGCGAAACAACCTTTCTTCTCAGAGAGAGAGAGAGAGAAAGAGAGAGCATCGCGGCCACTGGTCGTCGAGAGACGAGGTGTCGCGCGAAAAGGCTATGAGCACACCGTGTGCCCTTCGCACCCCAGGGACCCTGGATACAAAACGGCAGCGAAGCGCGAGCAAAGGATGCACACGAACAGGATGGGAATGAGAGGAAGAGAGGATATCAAGGGTGGGTCGGAAATGAGAGAGAGAGAGAGAGAAATATATATATAGAGAGAGAGAGAGAGAAAGAAAAAAAAAAACGAGAGGGAGACAGGAAGAGAGAGCGAGAGAGAGAAGGGACGAGAGAGAGAGAGAGACCAATGCCAAAAACTGCAAAGGGACAGTGAGACGGTGAGAAAAAGAGGGAATCTCTATACAGAGAGAGAGAGAATGTGTTGAAGGCATACTGGGGAGAGAGAGAGAGAGAGAGAAAGAGAAAGGGAGAGAGAGAGAGAGAGAACAAACAAAAAAGACAGAGACAGAGAGACAGACACCACACAACAAAAAGAGAAAGAGAGAGAGAGGGATGGGCCGGCGGGTCAGCAGAGGCGAGGGTGGGGAGGGGGCGAGAATAGAAGGAGAGAAGGAGGGAAGCGCGGAGGGGGCGAGATGGAGAAGAATTCAGGAGGCAGGGCAAGGAGGGAGGCGCTGAAACAGCAAGGTCTTGAGGCCGGGGGGGGGATGAGGAGGAGGAAGAGGAGGAGGACAAAGGAGGAGGAGGAGGAGGAGGAGGTGGAGGAGGGGGAGGAAGCGAAGGAAGAGGAGTGGAGGAGGACAGGAAGGGGGGAAACGAAAGGCCGGGAGCAGGACGAAAACGACGTCGGAGGACGAGAGGCTTGGATGGGGCGAGGACGCGGAGGAAGCGCGGATGGAAAAAGGACCAGGCGAAGAGGCCGAGTACTGCCGAGCGCTCCTGCACCGCCTCCGCGCGCTTCGCCTCCGCCTCTTGGCGCCCCCTCTCCGCCTCCTGGCGGCCCGGGGCGTCCCGCTCCGAGTTTCCCCTCCTGCGGTTGCTCGTGCCGCTGCTCCTCGCCGTCCCCCTCCGCACTCTCCTTCCCTCTCCTTCCCCCCATCCCCTCCTCCATCTCATCCTCCTCCTCCTCCTCATCCTATTCCTCCTCCTCCTCCTCCTCCGCCTCCTCCTCCTCCTCCTCCTCCGCCTCCGCCTCGGTCGGCCTCCCCCACCTCCTCCTCGTCCTCATCCTCCTCCTCCTTCTCCTCCTCCGCTTCCTCCTCCCTCCTATTCTTCCTATTCCTCCGTTTCCTCCTCCTCCTCCTCCTCCTCCTCTGCCCTCAAGCACATATGGCCCAATGAGCGTAGGTACCCTTTGGGCTCAAACTCGCCCTGGCGTGTCCGTCACCGCCCAGAAGTGCCTGGGGGGGGCACCGCGTCTCCCACACAAGTTCGCAGGCGATCGCGGTGGCGAAGGCGGGCAACTCTGCGGGTGAAGGAAAATATATACATGTGGTTTGCTCCGCATGCTCCCACGTTGTATTTTTGCTACGGACATCACGTTCAGCACGTGCGAGGGGGGTGGAAAGTGACAGCGGTTGGTGCGGCTGTTGAGCATCTGGTGGGCGGCGAAGATAGCATCGTCCGTCGTCATTATCCCTGTCTGGAGTAGCACGTGCGCAATGGACGAAGAGTGGCAGCAGGAAGACTGTTCCTGGGCACCGAACCTTTACCCCATCTCCTGCAGTGCCGGTATCGGCGCGTGCGGGAAGGACGAGCACCTTTTGGAGTGTTCAGTCACTGCTGAGCGTACTGTGGGAGCCGAAGCTTAAACCGACTGCCATCAGCTACGACGTTCGGATCAGCAAGTGCGAGAAGTGCAGGCATAAGCAGCGGAACGCTGCTGCTGGGCGAGATGGTAAGACGACGTGTGGGTCGACCACCATCTGCCTCCTCCTCCTCCTCTTCCCTATCCGCCTCCTCCATCCCCTCCTCTCTCTTGGCAGCCAATTCGCGTCCGAACGCCTCCCTCCCCCACTGCGCGGGGCGCGCAAAGGCGCTTCGAGCACGTGGCATACATGGCACCCGCCCTTCTTGCGCCCATCGCAGGTCGATCTCCTTGCGGCTCCTCGACGGGAGGGGCGGGGCATACACTCGCCGAGGACATGCCGATGCGCACGCCACGCTCTCCCAGAGCCGAGAGCCTGCGGCCTCCCCGTCCGCTCCTTGAAATTGTCCGCGCGCTCGGTATAGTCTACTGCGACGTTGTCGACATAGCTCACACATCTGCACGAGGTGTGGCCCCGGGGTGCACAACATGCTGGTCAAAAGCGCAGTGTGTCGAGTCCGACGTATTTTCTAGAATCCCGCCGAAAACTGCACGCGGTCCTTGATGAGCAGGGCCTAGCCCCTGTCGTTGACACCGGTGTGCGGCGCTGTCCACAGCGTCGAGGGCTGCCGGCTGGGACCTGCTCTTTCCTCTTGCGGCGCGGAGACTTGTTTCCTGACGCCCAGACTCACTGGTTCGACATCGGTCACTTCGGCATCCTCTCCGTGCGGCCTGTGTGGGGCATCCTATGAGACCGCCACCAGAAGTGTCGTTGCAACGGCCTTGCAGACGTGCTGCAGCGGATTTCTACCTGAATTTCTGCGTGGATTTTTGCTCGAACTGGGAGCGAAAAACGAAGTTAATTTCGCGTGGATTGTTGGTTGGTCTTCATTCCTGACCAAACAAGAGATCCGCGCGAAACTCGCCTCGAAATCGTGAACGAAATTCTCCAGGACAAGCCTGGCCCATCCCTTCGTGATCCGAACGAGGTATGGTCTGCGATGTTGGCGCCATGAGGAGTGCCTCAGCAGCCGTGAGAGTGTACACCCTGCGAAATGCTTAAGAAATCATGGGTTAAGAAATTCATAGTCTCAGAACTTGAATAAAAACCGATCATTTCTATTAACATCTTGAGAATTACATTGAAACGTTAAGAATAATCGAGATTATGGCCGAAACTTTAAGTTTTCTTAAGCATCGCCTAAGGTGTAGCCACGGGTTGATGTTCGCCGCGCGGCCGCGCGGCCGCGCTGGGCGGGGCGGCGGCCGGGGTGCGCGCCGCCGTGGCCGCTGCTGCCCCTGCCGCCCGTCTTCCCTCGCCCCCTGCCCCCCCCCCCCCTTCCCTCCCCTTGGCGCCCTCCTCGTCGTCGTCGGTCGTGCCCTCGCCTGCCGCTGGGCCCCTCCGCGATGGTGTTTGATTTTTATCTAAACAAATGTGCCCAGGCCTCCACGCAGGGTTGCAACACCCTGACCGAAGTCGATACTATCCTGGCAGACGATCCTTCGAACGGTAGCCAACGTGATGCGATAGTCCGACGACGACGACGACGGTCAAGACCCCCGGAGAATGCCCCGGGCGTGCACTGCAAGAGGATCCCCAGGCAAATCCATCCATGGCGACGGACACTTCCTCGGGGCGGGCTCTGTACGAGGATCCAGGATCCCGGGCCGCATTCCGCCGTAGCGATGAGGACGTTCCTGGATTAGGGGCAACGGCAAGATTAGGTCGGGCGCGTCCTCCTACAGCCGGATGTTGGACGAAATTCTAAAAATAATCCGCCGGCCCCCTTGCGGGGCCATCAGGCTGCGAGGATTAAGGTTGCTGCTCCCTGCACCAGTTCCAGTTTCCAGTTCCCATTGCTACAGTACTGTTTTCTGCTTCCTACTGTAAATTGTTCCTGTCCGCGAGAGGGGGGGGGAGCCGAAAAGGGCCCTGGTTAGCGTCTCCCAGGAGGGTTCTCAGAATTTCTGGGGGGGCGTGGGACATGTAAAAATACGGTAGTTTCGTGCCGCCCAAACCATAATCCCTCGCAAATTACGCTGTATTCGCGCCCCCGAGGCCACGATCCTTCGTGAACTACACCAAGTTCGCGTCTCCGAGGCCACGATCCTTTTTGTAATTTGCATCACATTTGCGTCTCCGAGGCCACGATCCCTGGTAAATTACTCCAAATTCGCGCCCCGAGGCCACGATCCCTTGTAATTTACACCACATTCGCGCCCCCGAAGCCACGATCCCATGTCATTTACTTCAGTTTCCCCCCCCGAGGCCACGATCCCTTGTAAATTACAACAAATTCGCGCCCCTGACGCCACGATCCTTTGTAAATTAAACAGCGGGCGCGCCCCCGAGGCGACGAATCCGCCTTGCGGAGGCTGCCGAAAAGGCGCTCCCCCTCTCCAAAGCAGAAAAACTAATATTTTCTGCATTGGGATATGTGCTCCGGTGGTATTCTTTTGCCCCACCCCGTTTCTGGAAAATTCGGCGGTGGGTTCCACATTCACCCCCCCAGGCCACGATCGCTCGTAAGTTACGCCACATCTGCGCCCCCGAGGCCACGATCCCGCGTGAATTACGCCACATTCGCGCCCCCGAGGCAACGATCCCTCGTAAATTACGCCGCTGTCGCGCCCCCCAGGCCCCAATCCCTTGTAGATTACGCCACATTCGCGTCCCCGAGGCCACAATCCCCCGCAAATTACATCAAATTCGCGCGCACCCCCCACGCTACGAATCCACCTCGTGGAAGCTGCCCAAAGGCGCCACTCTTTCTCCAGAGCAGAAAAAAACACCTTCCCAGAGATTGCCTGAAGCAATCCCCAGCCGTTCCCGGAGCGCTTCCAGTGAACAACTGGAGGAAAATGCCAAGGAGGCAACAAAGCGTTCAACAACAACTTCAACATCTCAATCTGTTTTGCTCATCGCCAGCCGCCCTAGCATAACGTTCCCGAATGTCATCAAGACGGCGCCCGAACATCCCAATATAGCTCTGATGTATCCCACTCTGATAGAGAGGGGGCTGGCGGCAGGGGGCGAAGCCCTTACGGATCAAACAAATCATCAAACAATTCTGAAAAATAATACAGAAATCGTCCCCTGACTGTTTTTTACACTATTTTTGAATATTCCCCCTGCAGGGGGCACGCCCGACTTCATGTTAGGGGGGAACCTGCTCAGAAGTGCAACGCCGAGTCGGAATCGGCGATACATCGCCGATAGATCGGCGATAGGCCCTCGATAACGAAACCTCACGGTCCTGGGCAGGGTTAGGGGAACGACAAATGACACAAACATAAAAACTCTGAGGTCCGCGCGGATTTTTCGGATCCACGCTGGAGCCCCCTGGCGGCGCCTCCAGCGCCGCCCTTGGCGCGCTCCGCGCGCCAGGGAGGGGGGTCCAGCGCCGATCCGAGAATCCGCACGGACCTTTGAGTTTTCCCCGGAAAGGGCATAGGCCCAGGGTTCTCTTTTAGTTTGCTTACCCCCGGTTTTGACTTGAGGTGGGCCGGCTAATTTCTCTTGCGATAAATATCGATGTCGAGGTGGGCCAGCGAAGTAAAAATCGAGGATGTCCCTAGCGAAACGTTTGTTTTCCAGAATTTGTTGAGGATGTCTCGAGCGAAACGCTTGTTTTGTGTTATAGATTGTCCTCTCCTGGGGACCTGAATTCAGAGGATCTCTCAAGTGAAATGCTTGTTTTCACGTGCCCAGGTCTCGAGGATGTCTCGAGCGAGACGCTTGTTTCACGCCTCCAGGTTGCCCAGACAGATGTCTAGCATGAGGATTTGTTGAGGATGTCTCGAACCAGAGGCTTGTTTTCACGTGTCCAGGTCGCCCAGGCGGATGTCTAGCATGAGGCGGTGTCGAGGAAGTCTCGATCGAGACGCTTGTTTGCACGTGTCCAGGTGGTTCAGGCGGATGTCTAGCATGAGGATGTGCTGAGAACGTCTTAAGCGAAGCGCGTGTTTTCACGTGTCCAGGTCGCCCAGGCACAGCACAGCCCTCGGCACGGTACATCAATATCGATACCCTTCGCATTGCAGCCTGGCATGTTGCCTGGCACGTTCCGCGGAGCGTCCCGTGGCGAGTCCCCCTGGCACGTCGCGCGGTGCACGTCCATTGGCTCGTTCCGTAGCGCGTCCCATTGGCACGTCCCGCGGTGCGTGCCCATGGCACGTCCCCTGG